TTCTAATGTCTCATGAAAATGTTAAGTGTCAGCTTATTACTTACAGGTCTTCAAACACATAAGTTCTCCAGGAGTCTTGGGAAGACATCAGGCTGGCTTCCCAAAGAATGTTCTGTGGCCCATGTTGCCTTTGGTGCACAGCGTGTGTGTGTGTGTGTGTGTGTGTGTACATGCGTGTGCACAGCATCGGGGGGAGGAGAGATGAAGGAGGTACTGAAGATGTACAGAGAGGGTGCTAATTTACCGCTTTCCAAGCAAGAGTTGAAGGTAAAGGTCTTTGTACCCTGGAACCGGGTCGAGGAGCTGGGAGGGGCATCCTGGCGCCAGGCAGGCACGTGGTCGCTGGTGCCCACAGCCCAGCCTTCCAATCCTGGGTTTTCCAGGCCACGCCATGGTTCCTCCTCTGTACAGCAGGGGGGCCTCTATCAGGGGTTTGAGGCAATGTTTGTGAAGCCTTGAGCCCCAGGGGACGCGGAATGGGAGCTGAGTCTACAGCTGTTGATCTTACTGGTCTGTCCTCAGCCCAGAATTTAGTTTCCTTGGAGATTCTCATTGTTGAGCAGAATGGAGACACTGGTCTCTCTGGAGGTTCAGAAAATGTCTTGGAGTTCTGGCAAAGGTACCCCATCCTCCCTGCGGGGACCAGGACTGCCAGGCTGCCGGGTGGGGATGAGACATAGGGGTGAAGGGTGAGGGGGCAGGGGCTCCCCGGCCTCATCAGCCCTCTGTGGTGACGGCCAGCACAGGGACCAGCCAGTGACCTGGATCCGAGGGCTTCCTGCTGAGAGAGAGGAGCATGGCTCCCTGGAAGAATCCCCCTAACAAATACAGGGCAGAGGGGTGCAGAGGTGGGGCCAGGCACCTAGGACTGGTGGAGTGAGGCGCGGGGAGGGGACCTGCGGGGATCTGCTGTGCATCACCCTGAGTCAGAAGAATATCCATCTCTGGGTTCTGCTTCCGACGTGTGAACAGGCCCCAATCCAGTGGCATCTCACACCTCCCCCCCATCCTGGCAGTGCTCAGACGCCCCCGGGTACTCGCGGCACACCCCTGAACCACGTGCAGCAGAAGCACCTGGAATGCTGGAAAAGCGGGCTCCCGGCCCTCTTCCCCTCTCCCCAGTCTGCCCTGCGGACCCGGAGTGTGGGCTCTCACCCCAGGGGGTTTGAGTGGGGAGCTGTGTCAGGGCATCAGGGGCAGGAAGCATAAACGTTTCCCCCTGAATAAAGCCTGCTGGCAGAGGTTTTCCTGATTCGTATCCCAGGCAGTAAATACACGGAGAGTCACTTTGGTGCTTGATGGAAGGTCAGGGATGGGGGCCAGCAAGCTCTGCTTCCTGGAGGTCGAAGAAGAGGCAGTGCCCAGTGCTTCTGCAAACGCTGGGCTGTACCTCGCTGCACACAGGGCTCTGGGAGCGGGGCAGGGACTCAGGGCCTTGTTGTGTTGTTACAACCGGCCCTGCCTGACCACCCCCTGCGTCCCCAGGGGCTTCCTCATTGGGTGTGTATTAGTTTCCCAGAGCTGTTGGAACAAGCTACCACTAACTGAGTGGCTTCAGCAATAGAAGCGTATTGTCTCAGTTCCAGAGGCTCGAAGTCCAAGATCAAGGTGATGGCAAGGTCGGCTCCTCCTGAGGCCAGGGACGAGGGAGAATTTGTTCCAGGGCCTTCCCCTGGCTTCTGGGATCTGCTGTCAGCTCCTTGGCTTGTAGGAGCATAGCCCAGTCTCTCTGCCTTACATCTCCGCATGGCCATCTCTCTGTGCCTCTGTGGCCAAATTACCCCTTTTATAGGGACACCGGTCATGTTGGATTAGGGGCCCACCCAACTCCGGGCTGACCCCATCCTTACTGATTACGTTTGCAACAGCCCCACTTCCAAATAAGGTCACATTCTGAGGTCCTGGAGGTTAGGACTTCAACACAGGAATTTCGGGGAGACAGTTCAACCCACGGCAGGTGATACAACAAAGTGTACCACATTATGTATACCTAAGCCCAATAATCCCTAAACTCGGGGCTCGTGGGTCAGAGCCATCCAGGGCAGGAGAAGGGAGTTCAGTCATCCACCAAGCGCTTTTCCGTTTCCCTAAAGAGAGACGAGGCCCAGAATGGTAGGAACGTGCAGCATGCAGAGACCTTGCCCACACGGAGAAGAAGACGTATCCGAACAATAATGCCCCTTTCCTGGAGGGGAGGGCGCTCGGAGGGGCTGAGCAGAGCTAGACCTGGCGTAAGATGGGCTGGAGGATTCCCTCTGCACTAGGTCATCTGGAGGGGGCCACATGGTATCCCTGCTCAGATCTAGAATGAGAAAGAAGCAGTTGTGGCAATGTGGAAATCCCGGGCCCCTCGAACAAATGGGGACCTGGAACTGGGAGAGCTAGGTGGACACAAAGCCAGTCACAGCAGGTGCACAGTGTGGGGCAGGGCTCCACGTGCTCAGAGGTGCAGGAAGTGGGTCTGCCCGCCACCACCTCCGAGCACAGAAGGGGGTGGCTCGGCGGCAGCCCGGCCCTGCCCCTCCACCAGAGCAGCATTCAGGCTGTGCAGATCCAGAGCATCTCTTTGCCTAGAGGCCCTGATGAAGGCCACACACTGGCTTTTCAGAGCAGGAGTCACTGTGTGGACCATGGCCAAGGGCAAGTGACAAAGTCCCGCGCAGCACGGAACCCGTGGAGAAGGGGTTCTGGGTCTGGGGGAGATGTAGAACTCCTCTTGTCCCGTCTGCGGTGCAGGATCTGAGCCCCAGCACTTGGGCTGCTGTTGGTGGAACCAGGTTTCCGTGTAGGAGCCTCTGGCTCCCTGAGCCTGGGTTTCTTGGTCTGTGAAATGGGAATAATTCCCGCTCTACAGGATCATTGTAAGAGGAGAGACTGTGCACGTCAAGTACTTTGCCCAAAGGAGACACGCAACTAACTGGGAATTATTATTACTGAACCTGGCAGAGAATTGAGACTTTACATAAAATCTCTGAGAAGGAAACAAAATAAGTTTTCTCTTAATTATCTAGCAGTGAAATTTTACATCGTCTCAAATCATTTTATTCTGTGAAATCTACAGAACCTGCAAATAATCATGTTGATCTTGCCAGATGGCTTAATGATATTTGGCTCTTTTAATAAGTCCTCTCGGGAGAGCCAAGAACACTAAGACTGAATTTAGCGACATACAGGAGAGCAGACATTTTGGAAAAGCCATTTGCCATCACATAGCAGCAATGTGTTGGCATTCAGCTATTTCATTGTTATTATTAGGTGTGAATTCTAAATTCAGGGTTTTTGTCCCCTTAAAGTCATCACTTCCCAAAATAGGTTTCTTAAAAGTGCAGCTTTCCCAAATGCTAACAGCTCCATTTCCCCATTCAGGCTAACGAGGCCATGAGCAGAAACGAGGCCACGTTCTCCCACGAGGTCAGAGAGCAAGGGTAGCCAGTGGTTCTGGAAACAGGAAGCCAAACAGGGGGGCTTCAGAATGGGTTCATTAAGGGTCTGTTCCAAAAAGGGGTATTGCGGGACCTCTGGGTGGCTCAGTCAGTTAAGTGTCTGCCTTTGGCTCAGGTCATGATCCCGGGGTCCTGGGATCGAGCCCCGCTCAGTGGAGAGCCTGCTTCTCCCTCTGCCTGCCGCTCCCCCTGCTTGTGCTCTCTCTCTCTGTCTGGCAAATAAGTAAAATCTTTTTTAAAAGGGGAGGGCACGGCAATGGAGGCTTGAACCCTACCAGCTTTCTCTTCCTTCCCTTCATGAGCTTGTCCTCACAGCCTCAGCCCAAAGAAAGCCAAGGAAAGCACTCCGGTTGGCGGCACAGAGTGACGGCCCAAGCTCAGTCTGTTTTGCGGCCTCACCTGGGCGGCCCAGCGCACTGAGAACCGCTGCTGCCTGCCATCATGCAGAGAGCACGGGCCCCGGGGGAAGACAGGTGCCGGATCCCAGTTAGAGCACAGGAGGCGGACCTTCCTCTCTCACTCCCTGCTGTGTGACGCTGGGTGACCCCTTCTCCTCTCTGGGCCTCAGTTTCCTCATCTGGCAGTGGGCAGGGAGAGGGTAACTTGGGATTTCCAAGCTGTGGCCTTTTTGACCTTACATCCATGCTGGATAAGGTCCAAATATGGCCACCGGAGCTGGACACACTTGAGAGAGAGTAAGTGGCTTGATTTGGGGGGAATTCCATTTACACCGAGGAAGGCTTTCACTTCCTCACAGCCTGGCGTTACCACCATTGAGTGGAGTTTTTCAGTGGACACGGGGGGACTTTCAGAAAAATGCCCCTTTGAGACATGGGCTGTATCTCCCACGTATCATGAGGTCACTTGAGGGTCCCCTGACTGCTGCCGTGGCCAAGGGCCACCAGAATCGGAACCCCGGGAAGAGGCCTTTGTCACCTACGGATTCTTCCTGATGCAGGATATACTTTGAGCTTTGCAGAATGGTTGCAAAATTATTCTCAGCCCTCCCTCCCAGGCAACCTTCTTAAGAGGGTGGAGCTGGATTTGAAGCAAAAGAATCAGTCTCTTCTAGTTGTAGAGATAATCTTATTCAACCGCCTCCTTTTTCATATAAAACCAACAGGCCCAAGGAAGGGAAATGACTTGCCCAGGGTCACATAGCAGGACGGGAGCAGAGTTGGAGCCAGCGGCCAGGACACAATTAGCCACTAGCCTGTTTCTTAGGTAAGCCTGGGTTCCAGAGTCAGACAGACCTGGGTTCAAATCCTGCCTTTGTAGTTTGCTGACCATGTGACCTTAGGCGAATTACTCAACCTCCTTGGACATCTATGGCCTCACACACAAAATGGAGGCAGTCCCATCTCCTGGGGTTCCCCGAAGTCACACGTGGAAAGTGCATGGTTACTGCAGGAGCTGAAATGAACTAAGGGCCTGGTGGATGTCCACCGTCCATCCCTGTTACTGCTGTTAAGTTGTAGTCCAGGAGGCAGTCCCAGAGAAGCTGAGGCTTGGCCAGGAGGCTGTGCTCTCGGTAACGGGCTCCCCGTGTCTCCGCAGGCTGGTGGAGCTGTCCTCCTCGGTGGCCATTGGCTCCCACTGGGGGGTGCTGTCCAAGTGCTTGGCCTACAGCAAGGCCGCGTCTGACCCCTTCGTGTACTCCCTACTGCGATATCAGTACCGCAAAAGCTGCAAAGAGATTCTGAACAGGCTCCTCCACAGGCGCTCCCTGCACTCCTCGGGCCTCGTGGGCGACTCCCACAGCCAGAACATCCTGCCGGTCTCTGAGTGAAGGACGCCGCTCTTGCTGGAGACTGAGGAATGAGACAGTTGGTGAGAAGCGGGGAGGGAGGGCTTGGGCTCCTGGGTGGACACCCCCAGCTGCCACCCACCTGTGCGGCCAGCGATTCCGGTTCCCTGGCTCGCAGGGGCCCTGAAGCCTGCTTCCTGGTTCCTCAAGGGCAGAGGCTGGACTGTCCCTATTTTGCACCAAAGGATGACCATGGTTGCTCACTCTGGGTTTTTCTTTCGGAGAAGCTCCTTTGGGCTCCTGGACTCACCAGAGACTCCCCAGGAGTGACGCTGAGTCTGGTCTTGATCAAGGACACGCGGTGCTGGTGGCAGGTGGGGAAGCATGGCATCCACCTGCTTCCTAACCACTAGGCGTTGGGCTCCATGCTGAAGAATAGTGGTGGTCTCCACGGGACATCAGTCATGCTGAAAGTGCGGTTGGCAGTGGCCATTCGGCCTTACGTCCAGGATGGCTGCTCTTATCCACGTGGAAGTGGCGGCTGCTTTAACCCAAATATTATCCAGCTGGGACTCACTAAATTGTGCTCAGCTGGGACTCTTGGGACCCTGAGCCCAAGGGGAAAATGTTTAACAACTAGCGGCTGCCCATTTGTTGCCGAGCAGTGGTCTTAGAGATGGTTACATTGGATTAAACTCTGGTCCCCCACATCCCCGCAAAAGCTAACGTCTGTGTGTGTAGACAATCTTAGCATGAAAATGGTTCAAATAGGCAGGTAATACATGTGATAATGTTCTTGGAGGTCTGACCTTGAACTCACCTTCTTCTGATTCACACATCATAACTATTGGAGCCAAGGAGAGGCAGGAGGAAGGTGGCTGCCTGGTGCCCCCACCCCTGGGTGTGACCTGATTTTGCAGGAGGCTTTTCACCTTGTCTCACACATCTCGTCCGGCACATTCTGTGAGAGCCACCCACAAGAACTGACCTGAGCAGGGTTTTAGCGTTGGTTCTAAGGCACTGGGTTCCAGGATCCCCCAGTGGCTCCACGTCTAGTCTCCGTGAGTCTATCAACAAGAAGTCGAGGCTGTCCCAGGTGATCAAGAAAGTGCCCTGTGCTAGTGAAGGGAGAGTGACATTTTTATTGACAATGATAACTTCAATACATATGCCAACCCACTGGCAGCCCCATCTTGATTTATGGAAAACCAAGGTGAGTGGGCTGAGATTTCTGCCCATCCGTCTTTGTTTATTATTTTGGAAGACGTGTGAATGCTAAGAGCAGTTATTTCTTGGTCCTCTGTTCTGATGCCTCTAGGTAGAAAGGGTGGGGAGCCACAGACTCCGAGGGCTCATTCTCTCTTTCCAGCTCTGTGTGTCCTAACTTTGGAAGTGCAGGGGGGAGGACATGGTCCAGCAGGGACCAACTGGGAAGAGCCTGACACTTTTTACTGCCAGGGGTCCCCAGTATGGAAAGACAGAGAAGTTTCATGCACATCTCCTTGAAAAGATGTTGTCTGATTTACCTTAGCTTCCCATTTAGAAAACAGATAGCTGAGCCTGGCCTAGTCTTGCCTACTTTCAAGGTCTTCATGGAGCCTAGAACAGGGACAGATGTAGCTTCCCAGGCCTTGGCACCTGTCAGTTATAGTTGGAGGTGTGCTCACACCTGCCTCGAGGAGCCCGTGGGGCACGTTCTCCCCCCAGTTCCATGTTCAGGGACATTATGTTGGTAGCTTGAAATCAGCCGTGATGGGAATATTTAGGCCAAGAAAATCAGCAAAGTCTAAAACCAGGACTTTTGCTCCACCGAGAGCTGGTTGTTCAGCACCTAGCCGCACACCACTGCCAAGACATGACATTGTGTGTTCCTGAAAACTTGCTCTGATTCAGAGCACATTCGTTTGAATCGAGTTTGAATCACAGTAGACATTCATTTTTGTGAACTTTCCTAGTGACACGCAGCTGTTCACTCCCACCCCGCTTGTCCCAACACCAAAGGTACCGATGAGGTTGAAAACAAGTATGGAGTCAAGAAGATAGCCACAATTGAATCTGACAATCTCCCTTTTCACGCAAATCTTCTCAAAATTGGGCAACAGAGTAGTGACCTAGTAGATAGGCCACTAGACAGTCAAGTTCAAGCAGCAAAATGTGTTTTCATCGATGTCGGGGAATGACTCTGTCAAGTCCTCTTTCTGCTTGTTCTATGTTGGCAACCTATTATACTCCCAGATGCAACTAGATCTCTTTTACCTCTTCTTGAGCTAAAAAACAAAGCAAAACAAAACAAAAGATCTGTCACCCACAACACCACGAATTTTAAAAAGATACATGTCATAATTTTTGCCACGCCCATAGACTGCTAAAACAAAACCCACAATAAAACCGGTTGTATCGGCATTATGTAGACAAAAGCCCAGATAAGTCAGCCAAGGGGGTGTTTTCACTATTGTTCAGACAGGCATTAAAAGCCAAGGAGAAGCAAGGAGAAAAACATGACATTAGGGGTCAGCACCAACCAACTCTGCTGTAATTACCCTTAGATGAATGTTGGTATTCATCTATACCCAGTCTATAAAATTGTCCCCTGGCTTCCTTATTCCCAGGTGAATTATCTACCTCATTTGGTAATTTAATTTATCAAACGTAACATGGGTTTCTCAGGTAAAACACTCAGAAACAGCAAGATCAGCGGGCCTGGGAATACTTACTTGACTTCAGTCTTGCCTGAGGCTCGATGTGTAAGGGCCAAACTCCGGTGGACAGCTGGATCAGCTGGGAAAGCGTTTCAGGAAGCTTGGAACTGACGCCTGGCCTGGGGGGTTGGGGGGCGTCCGATTCCTGGCCCCCCACACAGGGCTCTGTTTCTAGCCCTACATGATCAGAAATGTAGATTTAATTTGTTTAATTTAAAATGTAGATTTAAACCGACCCCGGATGGCTCTTTCAGTCACTTTGCAACTACTCCATCTTTTTCTTGCACTTCTTCTAGAAGGAGAGGACGTCAGAGCCCTAGGACCCCCCTAAGGGACTGCCAGCTCAGGTGAGGGTCATGGCATCTGGGGTTTGTGTGTCTCGTGGTCAGCTGACCTCCCAAAGCTGTGCCACTAAAAGCCAGCCTGTTTTTACTTAGAAGGCAGCTGGGTCCTGAGGGAAGTTGACTTGAGCCACCGGATACCAATGGTCCATGCCTTCTGGGATTCAGCTCAGTCTCCTGTCACCCTGAGCAATAAACCTCTCTCCTCGTGTTTCTGAAATTAGTTTTCTTTTCATGGTGCCTTTCTCTCTGAGAGAAGACAGACAGGACAGGCCAAGCCTACGTGGGGGCAGGTAGAGAATGCCTAGGGTGTGGCCTGTGGCCATGCATTTCTAGAATTTAACCCAAATGCAGCATAACCCAGATGGCTTATTATTTTAATGAGGATATTTTATTAGGTGCCAGAAATTCCTTGCATCGGCTCCTTTCCTTTGGACCGTGAGCACCACAGGGAAGAGCGAAGTCCCGGATATATTTGCGGCTCCCACCGCCTTCCTGGAAGGTCTAAAGCATCTGGAACAGCCTTTGGCTCTTGAACTTCATTATCCACAAGAATCACCAAGGGAGCTTGTTTAAAAATGCAGATTCCTGTACCCCCTCCCTGGAGATTGGTCCAAGGAGGGTTGGGCAGGACCTGGGATTCTGCATTTTCAGACATCCGTGCCCAGGTGACTGCGGCAGGGGACTTCCCAACTCTTCCCCGAGAATGGGGATCTTGGACACCTGGATAAACTCCATGGAAAGCTGGACCTTTCTAAATATCTCTGTTTCGTCCTGTATCTTTCCCCAGATCTCCAGATAGTTCAATCTCCAGCCTCATTTAGGGGCTGAGTCATTTTGCTCTCAGAGCGACATAGCGCTCACTCCGTGAAATTCTAAAAACCCATCTTCAGAGACTCAGGTGGAAAAGCTGCCCCCCCCTCCCCTCCAAAGGTATTTGCAAAGCAGCCTCATTCCATTCCGTGGGGCTCCCGGGTAGTAAGCGCGGGCGTCCGTGGGGTGTCGGCAGAGGATGGGCCGGGACACTTTGTTAGAGAGCAGGAAGCTGGCGCTCAGAGGGTCCCATGGGGACACTTGCTTGGGTCTCGACTGCACCTGTGCCAGGGCAGCCTGGCTGTGGGAGCCGACGGCATCTGGCCCCCCTGCCGCTAACCACAGCTAGCCCAGCGCTCTTCCCACCCAGCCTCCCTCCCCCGCAGCGGAGCCAGGCCAGGGAGGCCGGGCCAGAAGGAGACAGTGCCGGAGGCCGGCCCCTGGGTGCGGGTCTGTGTTCGGTTCCCCACTTCATCCAGCAAGGCTGGCCCGGCCACGTCCCCCCGGGAGCAGCTCCTTGTCATGACCATGGTCCATAGTCCTAACAGCTCGTGTGCACTGAGTGAAGCCTACAAGCCAGCGCCGGGCTGAGGGTTTTCGGGTCCTGTTTGCACAAGTCCTCACCGTGACCCCAGGATGTAGGTACTATCATCTCCTTTTCAGACCTCTGAGAAGATCTGTAAATCCTGGGGCGGCAGTTAGAGACACGTGAGGGGCAACGCAAAACAGGGCCATGGTCTCCAGAAGGGTAGGCTAGTACCAGTGGGGAGTCCCCTGCGGCACCCAGCTCGAGGCAGCTGGAGGCACAGCGGGCGTCTTTCCATCAGCAGCAGAGAACACCTGGCTCCCACTTCTGTGCTCACACCCCCACCCACCAGCCAGGCCCCGGGGCCCCTGCCTCGCTCGGCCGCCGCTTGCTTGGAAAGGACTTCTCCGGACTTCTCTTCCTCTAGGGGAGTTCGGGGGGAGAGGGGGAGGCTGAGCAGCCACCTCTGTACCCGGGATTATGGTTCCCAGGCCCTTTTCACCCCCAGGAAATCTATCTGACCAGATGTCTTCGGTGTCTAAGGGCTCGCTGTCAACCTGAATTTTCCTGAAACTCTGGGCCAACAGCCCTCACGACGTCAGAACAACACAGCAGCGTCCTGGCACCAAAGTCAACCTCCTCATGTCCTGAAGCCGGAAGGGTTTCCGTGGAAGACCCTGGTGTTGGCTTAGGACCCCGGGCTGAGCTGGCCAGGAGGAGAGGTTGGGTGGAGGTGGCCTCCCTGGTTTGCTTTTAAGGGTTCAGAGGGGAAACTTGGCTGGGAGCCATGTGGCTTGTAAGCCTCTCCACGTCCCCAGCGAGCTCCCACCTTCTCTCAAGACCGACTGGCCTTTTAGCCCCAGAAGAGCTAGGCCATGCCTTGGCCAGCTGCCTTTACTCTGGTGCCGGCCAAAGCCGTGGCCCCGGGGGAAGGAAGAGAAGCAGGAAGCTCAGGCTTGCCGTTGCCTCTCCAGTTAAGATGGAGCCATGACGTCAAAGGCCTCCTCGTGCCTCCTTCCACAAATACAGGGCACGAAATTGCTCATCTTCCCGGGGAATCTGTATCGGGACAGGGAAGTGGCTGGGACACGTGGTTTCGGGCAGCCTGACCTAGACATCACGGCAGACGCGGCGGTCTGCGGGGGGGTGCGGGGGGTGGGGGGGGTCCAGGAAAGCAGAGTCCTGGAGCCGTTCAGGGAGTGCCATGTGGCAGCTGCAGGCTCCAGCCCAGAACTGCAGAAATACGTGCCTGTCACTCCTCAGATGTTTCCTGAGCACCTTCTGTGTGCCCGGCCCTGCACTGTGCCAGCCTCTGGGGGAGACAGGAAATTACAGCGTAAGTGGGGCTGCCCCGGGAGGGGTGAGCACACTGCTGGGGGGTGCAGAGGGAGGGCTGAAGCACTTGGCCAGTGGGGAAGGAGG